CCGTCATCTTGAAACTTTTTCAACTCAAAAACGAAGAATTTACGGGCATATGTTTATAGGGATTTTTGTCCTTGTTTTGGTGTGAGAAAACAGCCCCTAAATTTTGTAAAAGTATTTTTGATAACGCGATATATATATATATATATATATATATATATATATATATATATATATATATATATATATATATGCGTGTGTATATAACAAATTCAGATATAAATAAAATAGTAATGTATTTCTTTACCAACACGTTTCGTCCTCTGATGGACTTGATGACGGTAAATGTCAACAAGGTCTACATCTAAGGTGCTGGAAGCAAACGCTTTCGAAGCCGCTTCCAAACCGTCTTCGACGATGACAGTGGTTTTACATAATATTTTTTTTTTTATCTTTTTCGAATGATTGATTGACTTGTTTTATTTTACAACTTAAGAAAACTATGAATATTATATTTCCTTTTGCTTACACGTTCTATCCGTTTTAGTTGTTGCAACTGCCGGTAATCTTTGTTATTTAGTCAAGCACTTTCTTTGTGATCATGTAGCGCCAGCCTATAAGATCCGATGACGGATAGTCTTCTTTAAGACCTGGAAGATTAATTCGCTAGAAACAATTTTTAATCGTTGATCGGGGAAAAAGTTTGCAAATAGTTGAAGGTTTTGATATTTCTGAAATAGTTGGATGTAAATGCATGGCAACCAGATGAGAGTCTGTGTCTGACGAGGCTATTTTAAAAGCATTTCTCAAATTTATAGGTTATACAGACAAAAAAAAACCTTGCGATGAGTACTTTATACTGTACTTATTTGGGTAAAATGCGCTATTGATACTTCTGCAATTCAATGTTTCTGCTTCGAGATTTCACCTCATTTAAATTCTTAAGTACGCTTTCCATTTGTATGAGGTTGTTATATTATGCATACGACGCGTTATTTAGAGGTTTGTCTTTTTAATTGCGTCGTTATTTCAGTAGGAAACGTTGCACTTATCTCAGTCAATAAATCCTGCAGTCGAGCTGGATATATTCGGTGAAAGGAAATTAAAAACAAACAAAAAGCTTTTATGGATAAGTCAACATTTCCTGTAATCGGAATATAAGTAAGTACACGCCTTTAAACTTGACTAAATGTTTCATATATCTACATACATATACCTTGCTTGAGAGAAATTACAAACAAACAAAAACTAAACAATAGCAAAAACGACAACATTGGAATTAGGCTTGTATACGAAGAGATTAAACATGGCGGCCAAATCAAGGTAATTGGTTCACAGATTTTGTCCATAAATTACGGACTCAAAGTCGAGTTCGAATAAATATATTGCAACAACTGCTACGACTGCTGCTAGGAAACTTGGTTTACAGTGTCGTGGCAGACATTTTTTTCACGACAGAATTTGACTCACACATTGATAAGTCGACCATTCGTCCATGCTTTGAATATATTTGCCACATCCGTGGCATTTAGAGATTCTTCATGAAATGCAAAGAAAAATATGCAATATTATTGGTCCTGACCTGGCGTCTCGACTTCAGTACCCCGCCATTAGTATAATATAGCATCTCTACCATTTCTATAAATATTTTTATGGAAACTCTTCTGATAAGCTTTCACCTTCGGTACTTAGATTTTATTAATTTAAGCGCAGTACTAGATTGGCAGCAAGGTCTCATCATTTTACAGTTAAGTTCGATGAAACCATAATTTCAATGATAACTGTTTCTTTTCTTGCATTTCTTGCTTTTGGAACTCTGTCCTGAACTATTGCCTTCCAGTTAACTTTGATCATTTAAATTGTTAATGCAATTTCAATCCTTATCTTCTGTCTTCTTAATTCCGCTTCTTTTATTGTAAATGGTATATAAGTTGCTGAAAGGCAGACATGCTTTTAGTTCCCGAATACAGTCAGTATATTGTGTCCGTGTTCACATTTAATAATTTTAATGGTTGTTTTTTGTGATTCAATTCTTTGTTCCTGAAGTTGCCAATCCCCTTTGAAAGCTTTTCGACCTTGAAGGCAATAACTAACATCAACAGTGATAAAAATTGAAGAAGGAGATTAAACAAGAATCTTGTATGGAAAAAATAGATCTTACTTTCTTTATTTACGACGAGTAGATCTGGTTTTTGAGGCTCATATAAAATGTTTCACATGCGTCGACCGGAGAAAATTGATATATCAAATTACAATGGCCACACCCGTTGAACATTTCTAACAGCAGCAACAAGAAAAACGTGAAGCACGATTTTTTTTTAAGCATTTTACCCATAGCAAGGCGGGAAGCCACTAGTACGCAAGGGGTTACAGAGGATTTGGAGCGAGAGCAGATAGTAATGATAGAGACGAGGATGAGGAGAAGGATAGTGAATAGATCAAGGCAACTGGAGATGTCGATTGACATTACATTTGAATGGTTCGAGATTAAAGCTATCAGGGAAATAGGAGTAGGAAAGGGAGTTCCACAGTGAAAGGGTGATAGCGGGATGCCAGCCTTGTAGGACGGTTGAATTCGCGAAGTCTTGGAACCAGAGAAAACAGCACATTGGAGCAATTACCATGAAGGTATTTGTAAAAAAGACAGAGAGAGGCGACGGCACGTCTGTGAGAGAGCGACTGCAGACAAGATGCCAGATTAGGGCCAATTATACTGCATATCCGTCTCTGGATCTTATCAAGAACCCCGAGGCAAACAGAAGGGGCTCCAGACCATATATGGCAGCAATACTCCATGCAAGGGCGAATGGTTGATTTGTAGATTTTAAGGATCGATTCCATGGAGAAAATGATTAATCGCACCAATTTCACCATTCCTCATAATATAGAAATGGTTAAAAATTGTTTTAGAATTATTAATCCTATGAATATTAAAGGTGACCAACCTTCATCGAATCCTATATTTTGTCACTAAAAAATCCAGCTTTGCCAAATAACAGTGGAAACCAAATGCAACTCGAAAAGAATGATATAATGTAGGGTATTTATCTATATATAAAATTTTATAACTTCCGTTAGTCCGTCCGGCCGCCCGTCCGTCATGACCCCTAAAATAACCATATATTGACCGATCGAAACCAAATTTGGGGGAAAAATGCAGCAAGTAAGGAGATACAAAGTGCAGTTGGTTTTACTGGGGTTCGTAGTTTAGTATAATAATTTTTAATTCATTTTTTCGAAAAATTAAAAGCTTTATTATTTAACACACAAAATACCCCTACTATTTTAAAAACAATTTAATGCTTAGAATAACAAATACTTATTTAATAAAAATGCAATATTATTTTTAGCATACCTTTTCTTTAAATTTTTATATATACAAGAATCCAATTTCCAGTTCACCCTGTGTTTACGAGAACGTTGAACAAATCACAAGGTCAAACACGTCAAAGTTTCGAATTTAACTCCAGGAAGAAATATTTACACAAGGTCAATTGTATGCTGCATTCTCAAGAGTAAGAAATTCTAAGAATTTATTCTTCGCTATTAAAAAGAAAAAAGCAATTCCCTTACAAAAATATTGTTTACCATGAATGCCTATAAATTTAAATTGAATTGAAAAAATTATTAAACCGCGAAGTACGGTTTTTGTCAAGGTATTTTTGCAAACCAATCAACTTATTCGAATTTCATCGATTAGTTTGTTAAATTGAACAAAGCATAGAATTTGTATATGTCGAAAAAAATGTCAGCGTTAACTTCAACAATACTAAATACTGTGAGGATCACAATACGCGTTATTGGGTTGCAAAATATTTTAGTAAGAAAAAGAAATGGCCAGAACAGGTTGAGACGTTTAATTTCCTGACAAAACTCTTTTGATAAAAAATTTTAACCGACAAGAGCGCAATCTCTTCGATCAATGAATACCGAATGTTCTTGAAAATAGTGATTTTCGCCAATTCCACCATTCTCCATAAAGACAGCAATGGTTAGAAAAGTTTTCAAATGAATTACTGTAAATCGTATAGAAGACGATTTTTCATCAGATTGACTTCACACAATTACAAAGCACTTATAACAGAAACAGCACTTGAACACTTTAAACGAGAAAAATCGGTAGCCCATGTAACTTAGGGTTGACAGACGTCCGTTATATATTGAACATATCTCGATTTGACTAATTTTGTCCCCTGTTCCGCATTAACCTTTCAGGGACACCGTATTTAGTTCATTTTCGAATTTCGTAATAAAAATATACTTTTACTACCTTCTTTCGGTTCTTGGTTGTAACTTTATAAGTAATTATACTTTCTTTTCTTAGATTATCTTGATTAAAATAACCAGAAAGTCACGAGGAAACAAGTGTTGCTAGATGTTTACACAAAACTGACTTGGTTGCAACTATTTCAGTTGCTCTGTTTGACTGAGGATAGCGACACTTTTACCGTTTTGCTTCCCAACTGCTGCACTACTGCGCAGTTCTATATCGGCATTGAATCAGATTTTCTTAGCTTGTATTAAATTTGTTCTCATTTTACCTGAACATATATATATATATATATATATATATATATATATAGTTTTTTTGTGTGTGTGTGTAACAATTGAGAAGCAGTGTGCAAAATAGGGATGACCCACCCGGTTCTGTGCTAACTTGGTCCCCTTGTCGCGTACTGATATCGCTATCGAAGAGGGTTTCTATATAAAATATAGAATATATATATATGTTCAGGTAAAATGAGAACAAATAGAATATGATTCCACTGAACTTAAGATTTAATATAAAAGAGGGCTCAATACATAATAGAGCTAAATATTATTTCTTTTAGGATGTTAAAACACGTTGAAAATCGCTACACAATTACGATTATGTTTCGACACTATAAATGTGTCTCTTCAGGCAATATTAAACTACTAGCGAGTGAAAGATTAATTTAAATATGCAGAATACTTTTTAAAATATTGCGTACGAAATATATTATAAATTTACTCATTTAAAAAACCAGAAATTAAAACCTCCGATTAAGAATTTCAATCCATTATCCAGCCCCACAACCAAGCTTACAGCACCTGGTATTCCCAAGCGGTCACCCATCTAGATACTGACCAGGCTTGTAATTGCTTAGCTTCGGTGGTCGTACGAGCACAAGTATTTTAACGGGATTTCGGCAGTAAATAACCCATAGAGGATGATATACCGCTAAACTAAAACAATCAAACTGAACATTATTGTGTAGGCTCTTGGTTCTGTTTTGACACGGAAAACTTTACATTAACGTTAATCCCAATAAATTCAATTGCTTAATATCAAATAGAAGATATTATAGCATAAATCACTCGTCTTCTTTGTGTTTTGCCTGTATTATTGAAAAGTAAAGCAGAATAGTGGGTGGAATTTTACAAAGTTAAACTTTCATGGAAACGCAAGACGCTTAAAATGACAGACATGATGTAGTTTGGTCGGAGAGTTTTGCAGTGGGAGTGGGGTGAAGATCCTTTGTTAAAAATGAATAAATCCTCCAAGTATTCTTTAATATCTTTTTTTTTTTTTTTTACCTAAAGGTTAAATTCGATAATTCCAAAACCGAGAAGGCGGGAATTCCACTCACATGAAACAAATATCACCTCCTCAAAGACTGGATTCTGACAGCTCAGTCTTTTTGTAAACGTTAAAAAATATTCCATGCATTTTATTCTTTTGTTGTTCCTGGCAGCAGTCTGTAATTGGCTTTGTACCTTCTTGCACAACATTATTCATTGAAGACGACAACAATTTCTTTTTAAAATAAAATTTTCTCAAATGTTTACTGATTCTCTGTTTTACTGTCTGTATTAGTAAGAAATTTCATCATCTATTTTTTTTTAAAGAAGACTTTTTAAATTATACGCATTCTTATGGAGAAAGGATGAGTCGACTTTATTCTGATGTTCTTTTGTGCTAGCAGGATTTCAATGTGTATTCACATCAATGATTTCTTTATATTTGAAAGAATTCGCGTAGGCAAGTGATATTGTCACAAGTTCTACCGTTATTATTGCTGTTGCTGTTGTTGCTTTTGTTGTTTCATGTTCTTCCTCCCCCATCCGCCTTTGTGAGTTAGTTCGTGTGTTACACCCTACTAACACCTTATAAATAATTAAGTATTCCTTTTTGCTCGCGAGAAAAAAACGTAAAAGGCATATCAGAGAATCAATTTGGTTTCAGTGTGAAAAAGAAATAAAAGACTAGAATATTCTCAACGTTGTTTTTGTTTTTACTAATATTCACCCAATAAAAGGCTCAAGAGCCACTCAAGGTAGAGGGTTACTCGGTGAAGTTAGAAATACAGTGTGGAAGTAAATTTTAGAAGAAACCGAAGACCTCACCCTTAAGAGAAAACAAGGGTTCAACATATACTCCTGTTCAAAATAGCCGAGAAGCGTGTGAACCGTATGATAGGCGAACCTCAATTAAATTGAAAGACTGAAGAGCCTCTTCTATCCTACTATATTATCAACTAGCCCACTAGCCGCCCTTCGGGCGTATTTTAGACTAACTCCTTCTGAAGGATTTTGGCCCTTCGGCCCTTTATCTTCAGCGTCGTATGTACATAAAACTATAAGCATTTACAAATGATCAAATTTTTTTTATCTTTATTTGACACACCAGCATAATCTTCGTATACTCAACTGATCTCTGTTGTCCGTTTACATTTATTTAGCGCGTAATTTTTATTTTCTTTTAAAATCAGAATTCTTTATGATTCCTTCACATAAAGACACACTTAAAAGGCATTAGGGAACCCGAACTCTGTAATATTTTGAATACACTACAGTATGCGTGTTAGAAAAAGAAAAATATATTAGTAACGTACTGCGCCCCGTCTAAGTTTTAAGTATGGTTTAGTTAGACGATATCTATTACAATTGCAATGAAAGGCGAAATTAAAGTTGAACTTTTAATAAAGACTTATTTTTAAAACCTTTCACTCTGTTCGATATCTAAATTTAAATAATTTTTAATCGTAACTAAAGTAGATACTACGTTTTACTTCAGATTATTATTTAGCTAAATCGAAAAACGGACGGACGGACGGACACACGTACACTGCGCTTTATTATTATAGATCGTTGGATATAAACTGCTTTCATTTGTATAAATCATCATCATCATCATCATCATAATGTCCCATGACTGGCCGTGTGTGGTCGTAAGGTCGACGTGCTGTCGAGTTTCTGGTTTCTGATCAGCTCCCTGCACATGTCTAGACTGTGTGCCAATGTCTGAGTCTCTGTTAATGATATCCCCTCCCACTCAGGGACGACGAAAGCCCATTCTTTCTGCCTACCTCTTCTTCTTTTATTTAAAGTTGCATCTTGTAGAATAGCACTGGAAAAATTACTGAGTCTTATGACGTATCCCTACTATTTAGAATTTATTTTCTTGACGGTGATTAAGATGTCTTACGACTAGGATTTTTCTTGTTTTCCGGTAATTCGCACAACGTCATTTAAAATACAATCTACGAAGCAGATGCCTGGGATGGTTCTATTACATCTCATTTCTAATGCTTTGATTCTTAACTGTAATTCTGCTGTTAATGTCCAAAACATAAGACAGTTGTATGGAGAGAAAAAAAAAACGATCTTTGATTTCAGGCAGATGTTCTTGTCTTTCTAGATGGCCCTAAGTATTGCAAAAACTGCCACTATTTGTGCTGCTCTTGAAATAAATTCTACTGTGTAAGTAAATAGTTGTATAATATATATATATATATATATATATATATATATATATATATATATATATATATACATATATATACAGTTATATATAGATGATAAATATATATATCGTGCAAATTTATTTCCATAATACCTACTTTCAACCATCTTTTTCGAAGAAATCTTTAGTTTTTACTTAGTCCTAAATTATCATTCATGTAAATTCATAGTGAATTTACTTCACACACACACGCGCGCGCACACACACACACACACACATATATATATATATATATATATATATTATAAACTTATTTCAAAACATGATCCCATCGCTACACAAGAATTACCATGTTTCAAAAACTTCAAATTCAATTATAGAATTAAATTAAATTAAAGTCTCTAGTTCTGTTTCATTTTCAAGCGAATTTTGGAATAACTTATTTTGAAATTTACTGAGTTTTATAAGCACATACATTCATAATATTAGTTTCTATGGATATAGGGAAATCCAATCATTATAACAAGAGACGGTAGGGTATTCTTTTTCACTGACAACTATTGTATCAAAAATTAAAAATTATGAGTTACTTTCGAAAAGAGGTTAAGTTAAGGTCGGGTAGAGGTGCCTTTTTCAACGAATGATGACATCCGTTCAACGCATGTTATCTGATCTTTTTCAACGACCAAAAGTTTTTCGGCACTTTTGTTTCGCAGTTAAATTTGTACTTGTATACATAAAGATTTTTTTTCTAAAACGGTTGTTTGTATATGAATACATCGTATTGAACTACAATTTTAAAATATTATACTTAATTTTAATTACTAATCGACTATACATCTTTTAAAACAAATAAATGTAACAAAATAACTTAAATTATTTAAAAAATTATTATTTAAATCTCAAATATAAATATTTATATTTCATTATTCAGCTTTTTTTTTGTTTTTTTAAATTAAACATTACTTAAGGAAAATTTTTGACGATGTCGACAAAGAATAGCTATTTCATTTATTTGATTAAGTAAATTTTTATTTTTTATTGAAAATAATACTGAGTTTACTATCTTTAAGAAAATGTTTAGCGATTAATACAAGGAATTTTTATCCTGATTTGTTCTTTACCATTTGGTTGTATGGTGGTGTATACCAATTTATTTTTCTACTTCTGTTTTTTCTATGCTTTCCATTGTCATTTTTTATGTAAGTTAGCTTTGTGCTTTTGTAGCCACTATCTTTTAGAGCTTTATTATAGAAATTAATATGCTCATAGAAAATCTTCTCATTTGCTACATTTGTACTTATTCTCTTTTCGATAGATAAAGGTATATATGCTTAATTATAGATGGGGGATGATTAATTTTAGGGTTTATATACAAAGGATTAGTATTGGGTTATTTATAAGGTATGTATACATTTTTCATTAAACTAATAATTTTATATCAAAGAAGTTCACCTTTTTCAATTTAGTGTTTACAGTAATTTTTAAGTTCAGGAATTTAAATTCTCTATATAATATCTTTCTAATTTTATCAGTTTTAATGTACGTAGAGTTCTTTATAACCATAAGTCCGTCGTCTCTGTATAAACCAAGATCAGTTATATTAATTTCATGATATGCTGTGAGATTGTATAAAAACACCTATAAGGTCAGAAGACATAGCTGAGTTTAGTGACCCCCTTGTGATGCCAAAGTTGTCATAAAAATTTTTGCTCCATTGCTCACCTTTATGTATTAGTACGGATTTTTTCGCATTCATAATAATGCACATTTCTTCTTCTGTTACGTCCGTGTACTGAGTAGCAAAGTCCAACGCATTCATGAACAGTTCTTTTGATATTGATTGATCATAATTTTCAATATCAAAGTGCATTAGTGAACAGTTTGTTTTATCTTTGATATCAGTAAACCAGTTTGTTACTTCTTTGGTATTAATCCAAAGTTTCAATCCTATGTTTTCTTTAATTTGTTGATTAACCCTCTCTAGGATATCTAATTCTATGTAAGTATAGACAGCTATATTTTTAACATGGGCTAACACAGGGGTACGCATATATATATATATATATATATATATATATATATATAAATTCCCTTAAAATCTTTGAAAACATTCCCCAAAACTTTGAGCTCTGATATATGGATGAGTTTAATGCCAATAATTCAGAATTATCTCTCTTTCATTTTACTAAATTTAAGTCTTGATTGCTTTTTCACGTTTTCGTTAATTTTCGTGGATTCCCGTCCAATTAAATTTTGGCCGTGTGACCATTAGGATTTAGGCCAGCTCATCGGTTACCCCCGCCCTCCCTCTAACCAGTCTCTCCTACCTCCATAATATAATTCCTCTAAAGGTGTCTTCTTCCCTCCATATCTCCGACTAAGTCACCTATAACGCTTTTTCTTTCTCCATCTAACCAGTATCCCACTACAAACTGATTCCAGAAAGAGTTT